CGCTAGGCCCGCGAAGCCCACGAGCCCGGCCCGTTTATCCCAGGACCACATGGGCTTAGGCCCGTCACGGGCCGGTTCCACCAGGTGAGCCCACGAAGCCCGGGACTGCCAGAGCCCAGGCCCATGAAGCCCAGCCCGTTTGGCCCATGAAGGCCCAGGCCCGGCCCAGAATACAGTATTATCTTGAGAAACTAAAGTATTTTTCATGGCACTAATAGCTTGTTTGGCCATGTTTGAAAAATCAACTTATTTTGAAAAGTATTTTTGAAAAGAAACAAATTGTATTTGACTAATCAATCTGAAAAACACTTTTGAATAGTAATTTGTGTATGACCAGGTTTTCAAAAAGTTCTTTTAAGTATCAATTTACGGATAAGGACATGGATAGATTTATTTAATAGTTAATATTATAAATAAACTTCAAAATTTGTTATCAGAAATAATAATTAAATCTTTTCATTTTATTTAAGTAAAATATGAAAAAAAAATTAAAAAATACTTTAATTCTTTTAAGATGATTAAAATATATTAAAAAATTATTCAACAAATATAAAAGCATTCACCCGAAGTCATTATATATTAGAAAGTTATCATTAAACTAAGAAAAGAAATACTTATACATTAATATCCTAAGTATTAAGTTTAAAATAAGTAAGGTTAATTTGCTATATACTATAGTTTGTTAAGGTATTTTTGGTAAGAAGAAAAAGCCAAAAAATTTCTGCTTCTTGGGAGAAACTATTTTTTTCTACTTTTGTATACGGTAGAAATCGAGCTCGTCCACAACATGGTAGATCGGGCTCGGAACGTGAGGGACTAATGATCGACCCCAAATCTCACCATGACAGAACTCCAGATCAGAATGTCTGTCCTCGAGAACATTGAATCCGTGATCCCAAAATATACCCTGACCATGAATGAGCTCGAGAAAACATTGTCAGCGTAACCAACAGAAGACCGAAATATCCGTGACCGGTCGGATATTATGGTGCGAATCTTGGAATGTATCAATAAGGAACTGGCAAATCAACGATTCAAGAGATTTTTACCTTTTTTAGAATTGTACCTAAAGCAGGACTCCCCTACTATATAAATGAGGTCTGATTACTTGTAAAACACGATATAACACGCATTCAGAAGCAATATACTGTTACTTTCTCTTTAAGCTCTTATTCAACTATGTCTTGACACTAATCAAAGTGCATTCTGTTCAAGGGTAGACCCCCCAGGCTGTAACTGTTCAATTCATGTGGTTTGAATTTACTTCATCATATTTTATTTCAATTGCAATTTAATTTACCACTTTGTGTCAATTTAATCCACGTATCCTTAAAATCACTTACAAATTTAATTGTTATCTGATTTTGAGGGTAAACAGTTTGGGATAATAGTGGTTATTTGATACAAATTTCCATAACACACACTCCTTTACACTTGTTCTTTGAAATGTCTCTAATTTTAGGTTAAAAGTCAAAAATGTCAAACTCACAATTAGCACCCCTACCTGTTGACAATGAGTCCGATCATCACAGTGAAAATAATAACGTAGCGCCCAGTAATGATGTACCGCCCGTTGATCCCATCGAAATTCCAGTCGCAGACCCGTTGGATGCTAACTCGCATGTGGATATCAAACATGCCTACCGACCTCGAGAATAGCATCGGTGGTGGAGCCGATCGACAACACAGAATATTCAAAATAATAGAGGAGACAATATCAATCTACGGATGATCTACAAAATGTTACAGGCTCAACAAGCGGTGATAGCTTAGTTACAGAACCAAAAACGCACCGAACAAAATTGAACCCGATCCATCCAGGAAAATCACCCGCAGGGAAGAACCTATTGTAGGGAGGTCGAATGAAAATAAGTCGGGACTAACCTCGAGATCATAAAAATTCTCGAGGATCTAACAAAACGGATAGAATCAAGGGAGAAAAAAATCGAAGCAAATGACAAAATGGTGGAAACCTACAATTCCAGGGTCAACCAAATCCCTGAAGTGTCATCGATACTGAAAGGTCTGGATTCGAAGAGTACGTACAAAAACCTTTTCCTTCGAATATGGCTACAAAACCGATCCCTAAAAAATTATGTATGCTCGAAATTCAGAAGTATAGCGGAACGACCGACCCAAACGAGAATGTTACCTCCTACACATGCTCCATCAAAGGGAATGCCTTGGAGGATTATGTGATCGAGTCTGTCTTGTTGAAGAAATTCGTAGAGACCTTGTCAAAGGGAGCTATGATATGGTATCACAAGTTACCTCCTAATTATATTGACTCATTTTCTATACTTGTAGTCTCTTTCGTGAAATCACACGCCGTGGCTATCAAAGTCGAAACTACGAAGTCAGACATTTCCAAAGTAAAACAGAAGGATAATGAGACGCTCAAGGAGTTTGTGTCCCGGTTTCAAATGGAACAGATGGATCTGCCTTCAGTCGCTGATGATTGGGCCGTTCAAGCTTCACCCAAGGACTCAATGCTTGTAGCTCGGTTGCTTCATAACAGTTGAAGCAAAATCTGATAGAGTATCCGGATTTTACTTGGGCTGGTGTACATAATTGATATAAATTGAAAATCAGAGTCGAAGATGATCAACTTGGCATTCCTTCCATGTTTGTTTATCTTGTTAGACCTATCGATAGAGTCAAAAGAGATATTGACCGTGAACCGAGGTCAAACATGGATTGATACCAGCCGTCCAATGGAGATCGAAGAAGTAGTGGGTCCAGACAGAATTCTATGTAAAATAAAAGGAGAAATGATCGAGTCCAGAGCAGTTGGGGACTCATGACCAAGAATGGTTTCGCCAGGCCTATGGGGCCTAAAGAAGCACCAAGGTTATCAGAATATAACTTTAATGTTGATGTTGCCGCCATTGTATCAACTATCGGACACATCAAGGACACCAAATGGCCTCGACCTCTACAACTGACCCAGCCCAAAGTGATCCTAACTAGATGTGCAAATATCATGGCACTCAGGACCACAAAACAGAGGAATGCCGACATTTGAGGGAGGAGGTAGCCCGATTATTCAACAACGGGCACCTTCGAGAATTTCTGAGCGACCGAGCCAAGAATCATTTCAGAAATAGGGATTCTAATAAATTGACCGAACAAGAATAACCTCAACATGTCATTAACATGATCATTGTTGGGGTCGATGTTCCTCAAGGGCCAATGTTAAAATGCACCAAAGTATCTATTACAAGGGAAAAATGGACTCAAGATTACATACTAGAAGGAACTTTGTCTTTCAACAACGAGGATGTAGAAGGGATCGTGCTGCCCCATAATGATGCACTGGTAACATCTATACTCATAAATAAATCTCGAGTTAAGCATGTATTAATTGATCTAGGTAGCTCGACCAACATCATCCGGTCGAGAGTTGTAGAACAGCTTGGTCTACAAGATCAGATCGTATATGCAGTATCGAGTTCTAAACAGATTCAACACGGCATGCGAGACCACTAAGGGGGAGATAACATTACTAGTGAATGCCACCGGGATCATACAAGAGGCCAATTTTTATTTGATCGAAGGAGACATGAGATACAACACCCTGTTCGGGAGGCTGTGGATCCATAATATGAGGGCAGTGCCCTCGACTTTTCACCAAGTATTAAAATTCCTAATGCGAGGATGGATTAAAACAATCTATGGAGAATAACCAACTGTAAAGGAAATGTTTGCAATCGAACAGATAATTCCGATATCAACACTCACAACGTCAAACAAACCAAGTTTGGGTACAAAGAAAGAGGCTAAATAGCAATTACCGACGCCTGCCATGAACCAACCGGATAAACATGGGACTGATGAAGATGTTGATTGCGGGGTTCCCAGATCTTTTATAATCCTCGATGATTCCGACGCCACTAAATCAATGGTCAAGGAGTTAGAACATGTCATATTGATCGAGCATCTACTTGATCGGAAGGTATACCTGGGCACGAGGTTAACTCCCGAGCTCAGGAAAAAACTCATTCAATTTCTTATAGCTAATATAGATTGTTTCGCTTGGTCCCATCTTGATATGACAAGGATCCCACCGGAGATAACCACTCACAAGCTAATCCTGGACCCAAAATTCTACCCTGTCAAGAAGAAGAGAAGACCCCAATTAGAGGTCAAACATGCTTTCGTCAAGGACGAGGT